GTTGGGGGAGAAAGATTGCAGTTTTTTTTTTTATTGGGAAGTTGAAAATTGGAGGGTTTAAGAGAGGAAAAAAAGAGGTTAGTTAGTTAAAGTGGGATTATCATGATTATGAATGTTTGTTGGCCTGTTGGGTTCCATGGGTTTTCCTTTAACCTTATAATGACAAACAATGGACTTAAATGGCTTGGCTTATTTTCCTATTTATTTAGTACTTCTTTTGTCCTGTGTTTATTTCTATTTCTATTACACAGATTGAACAACTTTTTGAATAAAAATACATACTTGTATAGCGAAATACATATTTTTGTTTACGCGTAATTTAAATTTGAAAGTACGCATAATTTTCGATATTCCAAAAAAATATGTATGCATTATCTTTTACCTCTGCCAAAGAGTCGACTTGGTATTTTTATTATGTTCTCTAATTCGATGAGATAGGGTTCCAAAGTCAAGGGTTTGTAGATGGGGTGGGACAAATGTGTGTCATTTTTTCCATTTCATTAGGTTTTGGTACCTTTGAGCAGTAAGTCTTGTTTGGTTTTTGAGGAGAAAATGATAGATGTTTGCCTTATATTTCCTCAACTTCACTTGGGCACTGTTTGGCAATCATTTCCCCAAAAATAAATAAATAAATAAATAAATAAATAAATAAAATTAAAATAAATACTTAATAATTTCCATGCGACTATTTGTTGGCCAAATTTTACACTTTCTTTCCATTCAACAGGACTGAAGCAATAAAATTTAAAAAGCCTCATTGCATGTATACAAGCTTGTAATTGTAAACATCAAAATTCCAGTTGTGTCCTGGTTGATCAGATTTGGCAAATACATTGGGGCTATCCTCTAATCTAATAATAAAATGTAAACCTGTAGTAAAAATAAAAAAATAAATAACAGAAATGGAAAGCCAAGTCACCCAGCCCACACTACTTCTTTCCCTTTCCCCACTTTCCATTCTTCCCAAACTTCTTTCCCTTCTTATTCTTGGTCTTAAGATAAGAAGCCCTGTCTGCTTTCTTTTGCTTTTCCTTCCGAACTTGTTCGATGTCTTTGATTTCATTACGGACATGAGCATTCGGCACTGACCTTTGACTCCTTCCACCTTTGAACCTTCTCCGGTTATCCCCTCGAAAATCAGAAGTACCTTTCAACGGGGAAAAAAATGATATTGTCAGCACGTGTTTTAGCACGTCTTAAAGTGAGAAAAAAATAATAACATTTCAAAAAATTTATTCTGAAGTGTGATCAAATTGATAATCTATTTCTAAGATAAAATTCACCTGATGTACTAGCAGCTTCTTGTGAAGTGCTTTCATTGCTCGTCCCTTTAAGCGAAACCTTCTTGTGCGACCGTTCAATCCATTTCTTGTATATTCCAGTTTTCTTGGTCTTAACTTTTGCACCACTTTCTGTCTTTATCTGCAAAAGCCAGAATAACAAATGAAAAAAAAAAAAAAAAAAAAAAACTCCTTTAAACCATGCACAGTAGGTCATTGCAATAAACAATAGTTTGTTTTTTCTTTTTTACCAAATTAGGCATCAACACGTACCTTTCCACTGGCCGTCACACGATCCCCAGTGTTTAGCTTGACGTACTTCTTGCTTCTCTGTTACAAATTCGACATCATTACGACAAGTCAAAAGTTAAACAAGGGCGTTCTGGTCATTTATGCAGGCATGTCTCTTATATTTATGATAATTTCTAATGTTCGTGGAGTGTGATTGTTTAGCTTCATATGTTACCTTGTCCCAGTGGAAAGAAGATTTCTGCTTCTGCAATCCTCCACTATCATCAGCATTTAGATCAAGAACAGCAGATTCTAACCTGTTTCATAAAATAATAAAAAATTTAATAATAACAAATACCAACTGCATCCCCATATAAACGTATGATTTGACATTTGACATCTTGAGGCATGTGAATATGAAATAAATGAACCACTATCAATTACTACACGAACCTGTTTGATTCAAAGCCCTGGTTATTTCTCACAGAAAGCCCTGCTTCAAAATGCTGAAATTGATGCAGGCACAAAACATTTACTTAAGGCGGGTACACGCAAGCCAAGTCAATTGATGCATGAAAACATTTACTGAATACAAAATCAGTAAGGCACGTTGACTTGCATTCAAAAATCAAGAGATTATGTAGAAATTTACCTGATTGGTTGGCACAGAACTAATGAAATATTCATCATCTTTGAAGGTCTGGGCCTTTCTTTTGGCGCCTACTGCAATAACCAATGCAATAAAATTAAGAGAAATACCGAAGAGGCTACGGATAATTATGCAACTTGGTTCTTTGAACTTATATAGGCCACGGTCCACTTCATTCACATCGACAAACAAAGTACCAAACTTCCAATCCAATTTTGTACTCAATGATTTTGTTACTTGAATCAAAGCCATAAATGAATTGGATAGATCATGTTAAAAAATAAAAATAACACCAATATCGAGGTAGACACCTTGTCTTCGCCTGTTCTCTGGTGGATTATCTTCTGGTTCAATTTCCTACAGGAAGAAAGGAAATTTTTTTAAAAAAAAAAAAAACTGAGAAAAGACAAAAAGCAAGTACAGATTAAATGATAACAGACATATTCCATCTAAGTTAAGAAGGATACCTATCAGCTCAACATGCAGGCGGATGGAAGAAAATGAATCAATTGAGTGATATTTATTACCTCCACAAGATTATCTCTGGAACGTTGCTCTTGAACCTTTTTTATCACCTCCTCGTGCACGGCTCTTTTCACCTTCATCACGTCAACCCATTGACTTGAAGATCCCTGAGATTTCTCTTTAACATCAGAAGAAGTAAAGGAACAAAACAAAATATAAAGCTACTAGCAATGAAATAACAGCTGGCTCAATTATAGCACAGACGACAGTACCTTTTGATTTTTCGATTTCGCAGCCTCGCCTTCAGCCTCCAGTATGGTCTGCTTGGGCCTATTAGCAAGTCACATTAGCGACATATGTTGTTCAAGGTAAATTCCCTTTTAACTGTTTTAGAACTCAGATTCAAAAGTTCATTCATGACTCACTTGAATGCTTTCAGGCGCTCGGAAAAGGCCAAAGCTGTCAACTCATCACCACCCAGTTCATTTTTGAACATAGGATGCAAACCTTCACGGGGCAGGTCTTTCACCCTTTTAATAGACTCCCTAGATGGCTTAGCTTTTGTCTTGGTGTACAGTGAAAATGCCTTTGAAGAAGGTCTCAGCAAGCCAGCGAGTTCTGCGGACGACTCAATGATTTCTCGGACTCTGTCTGACAGTAGATCTATGGCTCTCTGGGGGAAACGTCCATAAACGGTCCCACCATTCGCAATCGCTTGATCTATTTTAGCCATAGCACCATCTCTATCTCTTAAAACCTCATCCTCAGTAGGAGCAGGCCTAATCGGCTTTGAAAGAAAGAGATGAAGGTCCAATAGGTAAGCCATGTCCTCTGACGTAACAAAAGAAAATGAAGTCCCAGTACGGCCTGCCCTCGCAGCCCGGCCCACACGATGGACAAAAAGCTTTGGCTTAGGCGGGAAGTCAAAGTTGACCACATTGTCGAGCAAAGGGATATCAATTCCCCGGGCAGCCACATCAGTCACGATCAGCAGCATAGTCTTCCTAGCCCTAAACTTTGAAATATGGATCTTCCTAGCATCATGATCCATGTCACCATAACACACGGAAGCCACAATGCCATCCTCTTTGAAGAGGGCATAAAGAAACTCGACATGATATTTAGTGGAGACAAAAATTAAGGTCTGCTGATTGGTATCTATGTGCTCCCTTATCAAATACAGCAAGGCTGCATATTTTTCTTCCTGCCTCAAGGTGAAGAAGGTGAGCTTGAGGTCGGGGCTGATTCTCGTCTCCAGATCAAGCCTGACCAGCTGCGGGTCCCGAAGGCCAGCCTTGGCAAACTCGGCAAGTGCACTCGGTAGGGTCGCGCTAAAAAGCAAAGTCTGGCGGTTCTCACCCAGCCTACCAAGGATTCTGTGCAACTGCTCCGCAAATCCCATGCTAAAGAGGCAATCGGCTTCATCGAACACGACGTATTCCACAGTCCGTAGGGACATGTCATCAATCTCTTCCAAATGATGCATGAGTCTACCGGGAGTGGCAATTATGCAGTCGGGATTCTGAGCCAATTCCTCGAACTGGCTTTCCATGCTATCACCACCAACCAGCAGGCTAGAACGAAGGTCTGTGGAGAAAAAATGAATTAGCTAAGCAAATATAACATTACAGTTAATTGGATCCAATTACATCATCCTATAAAGTTAACAC